CCTTTGAAGACTAAGATGGAATGCCTCGTATCCAGTAAAAAGGATCTTCAATTCTCTACACTTACCATACGAAACACAGCGGCCGTGATGTACTATTTTAGGTTGGTACTCTGTGCAATCGTGGTTCTTGCCTGGTCGAGCCGACCCGTTCGTGCTACAACCATAGTATAGCAAAATTCGTATATAGATAATAACGTAGAGCGTCTTTTTAATGACAAATAAAATATAAAAAGCTGTGGTTGGCGACCCGCCAGCCTAGCGTGGCAACTGTGACGAATATCTCTTATATCGCCATCCGAGCCGAGGTATGGGGCCTGTGTTTAACAATAATAAACTTGGAACAGGGTAAGGAATGATGAGTGAATGGTACATTAGGAACTATTAGGAATATTTAAAGAAGTGTGCAATAAAAGACTCAGTAAATAATAAACCAGGAACTTTATTTAAGCTATATTATGTACAAAAATACAAATATCTCAAAATAGATAATAATTATTCTATTATAGCTTCAACAAGCGAAGTCGAACACCCGGGCTCCGTGCCCGCGAACATCTCTACTGCCTAGTAGCCTGTCAAGCATACGCGTGGGATTTTCATTTTTACGCCCCTCTTAATAGAGTTCAATTTGTAACACGTATACTGACAGACTTCCAGCCAATATGGTACATATAATTGTTAATATTGGACTCAATTGCCTTCTTACTTCAACACGGGGTAGCAAATAAATACTTATACACATATTTATGTTTTTAATGGCTTTTCAGTTCACACTGAGGCGCCTGTGTTGAGGCGCGCAGGTAACATAGCGATAAAAATCGAAACTTAATTCATAATTTATTATGTCAACTTTTAGCAAAAAAGTTCAAGACGATGATAACAAGAACACAAGTCATGCTATACGATCAAGTACATTCAAGCGCATTCACTTAAATACACAATACATTAAATTAGTTCAAAACATTCCTAATGTTAATTAATTGTGAATAAAAAATCGAACCAGTGGAAGGATGTGGAAGCAACTGAATTTTATTTTTGAACTAGAACTTAGAACTTGTATATTTTTGTATTCTTTATGAAAAATTCTCAATTAAATTCAATCCAGGAAGTCTATAATATAAGAGGTTTGTACATAATTATTTTGTAAGGAGAGCACACAAAGAATTCCATTAGTAGGTAATCGTTTACATCGACAGGTCGGAACCCTTCTCGTGCACACTAACTTTTTAATTATGTGTAAATGTCTTCTGAAGCAGTAAACACGAAAACGCTTTCTAACGAAATCCAAAAATATAAGTTGTATTTGAATTTAATTCAAAAAATGAGTCCTCAGTTAAACTTGGTATCTTCGTTATTTTACCAAAAAACCCCTTACTCCCAAAAGTCAGACTAAAAGGTCAAATAATAAAAGTTGTTTTCGCAATGTTTCTTTATGGCATTTATTTTGGAGTTGTACTGCAATTGACTCGGTGGAACAAAACACGTTACTACGCTCTAGGTGAGAGCCAAATAAATTTTAATATTTTTGTCATTTAATTGCCATTGGATATAATATTTTGCAACTAAGTATAACGTATGACCAATATACAAAGGTTTTCTTAGAGTATATCGTTATTGTCAGCATCTCGCTTCAAAAACTTAAAATTGTCATTCGCAATTATTTTAAAATAACCAAAATTATAATGCAATGAAAATGATTCAGATGCGTTATATACCTATATAAGGTAAGAAATGAATTTACATCACGACTATAAATACACTTGGCATCGGACGCAAGAATAGGTAAGCTTTATCGAACGAATCTTAATATCAAAATCGCTTACAGTTCTGCTTAGGGATATCCAAAGATGTTTTATAGGTACAGATACCGTGTTGCTAACACATCGCACCGTTCACAGTGACGCCAGTCTTTGATTCATGTGTGCGTGAGTACCACGTGACGCGCATATCTTACGTACCATGCCTGCATTAGTGTGCGTGACTTCGGTAATAATAGTGCGAATCGATTGCCCAAAAATTTGGGAGATTTTATATTTCATTCATATTGACATACCGGAGTGTAAAATATGTGTGCGTGGCGTGTGCATTTGTGTACGTATGTGAATGGGGATATACACACACACAAGGGATATGGGTGGTTATGTGTGTTTTATGTAGGTCTGTATGAAAATCGCACTAAAATAGTGAAGATAAGTAATAAAAACTAGATATAATTAATATAACAGTTAAAAATAAATCAAAAATCACATTAGATATTTATGTATCTAACATATATTGAACTAATCTATTATTATTGATTATATATAGATTACTGCACTTTCGTACCTTAAAACCCAAAATATTGACGCGAAGACATTAATTATTTTTAATCTTAAGTAAAATGACGTACAAAAGTAAGTTTGGTTAAGTGTAAACTTCGGCCAAGAGATAGCAAATGTTTATTTTTTTTAAATTTCATATATCGATACAGTTTCATGACTAGATCAAATCATTGCGTAAAATCAATTAAATCCTGCCACTGGAAGACGATTAAAAGATTGTGTGTTTAAAGGCTACATTTTGTACTGTAAAACCTGTAAATAAATAAAAAAAAATATAAAATCAATGTTGTTTGTGTATAAGTGCCCTTGACATGAAAGTAAATTGAACATTATATTATAATTATATAATAAACAATAATATAACATAATTATATAACAAATAATAATATAACATAATTATCATAATAATATAATTTAATCACACAACTAAAGCCCTCATTAGTAATGTAACGGTAAAAGAATTTTCAAAACCAGTCAAGTAATTTTTGAGATAAGCCAAATGAAAAATATTCATAGAAAGTAGTGCCATCTATAATAAAATACATTACATACCTACATTAGACATCTTTAATTATACGTAACATTCTAGTGGTAAAAGAATTTTCAAAATCGGTCAAGAACTGTACGAGTTTAGCTAAAAAACATATTCGTTGATGGTAGTGCCCTCCATATCAAAATACATCCTACATTTCACAGTCATAATAGCATTCTAATGGTGAAAGAATTTCTTAAATAGGTCAAGTAGTTTTTGAGCACCATTCCAAAAAGCGATTCAGCTTAGCCAACCGCACACACAATAAAATCATAAACATCCTTTTTCGTTTGTAGTCGGATAAATAACCGGTTCTCTAAGGTTGCGTATCGGCTGCTTTGGATAAATATCCGTTATGAACAGTTGCTTTACATCTATTAATGACATTAAAATAGGGAAAAACATTTCATACCGTAGGTAACACTCGAATATTATTGCGCAGTATTATTACTTGTATTGACATTCAGCTTTCGTATTATGTTATCAAGAAATACACCAGAAAATTGTATATTTACTTATGAAAAGTGATGCTCTTATCTTTTTCTTTTTTCCAAGAGTAATTTTTACATGATTTCACAGCACAAACAGTCATCTTCCGAAATTAAAAACACTGGTGCGTGATGTATGTTCGCAGTGAACGTCGCTGACATAATGGCGGAACGATCGAACGAATACGCCAATATTGGCGCCTTTTAAATGGAAGCGTTTTAGGCGCGCGTACACGGTATCTGTACCTATAAAACATCTTTGGGGATATCGTTCTGCACGTGGCTATATGACGGAACTTGCAGAGTGAGGTCACAGGGCTGTAGTCTGTTGATAGCGTAGAGTACACACCAAGTAAATAAGATATACGAGGGAGAGTACAATGAGTACATGATTAGATATACTATATTTACTATGATATATTTTATAAATAAGCTGTGTGCTCATATAACGTATAATATTTAAAGTCATTATAAAACATATCCACGAACTCACTGCGAAAACCCAGGGATTAATTAAGAATTAACTGCTTACTTTGGCAAGAGCTCTGACTGGACATTGATGTTTAAAGAGAACATAACTATGTTAGGATTAACCACTCAGAGATGAGCCGATTCTGTTCCTTAACGGAAGAAACACCCCTGCGCATTGTGATTTCAAACCGCTAATGCGCAAAATTAACACTTTTCTGGGAAACTACGTACCTACTTAGCTCAGAAGCAGCAGGCTTAGTGGTTACGAGTAAATGTTGCCACAGCAGCGATAGCAATAGACTATACTATTAGAGGTATTCATCTTGTTACACCTGCACAGCCGCTCCGACAAAGTAATACAGAAGTCGGTCGACGACGCACACGCACACAAGTATTAAACAACAGCCATCAGGCAATTGTTTGTTAGTGAATATTTTAATATATCTAATTAAATTGATTTAGCTATCGAAAACATATTTATCTCAAAACTTTCAGAAACCCTTTGTTGTTTATTAGCATGGTTAAATTAAAAGTTTACATAATTTTATTAAAGTTGTCGACTGTATGCAAACATCGATATATATCTTTGCCTATATAAATACTTAAATTCGTAAGCACAAGCCATTATAAATTTTATCTCCTAAACAATCAGGTTTATCTACTCACGCGTATTTCAAGGCTCCTTTCCAGCTAAGGCATTTTGCTTATATCTAATACTTTCAGTCCAAGTAAAATCACGACTCGATAAAGTCCTATTTTCCTTACTGCAACTTTTTAACTTGAGACTCAACTGCAAGGGGCATAATCGCTCGAGTGTTTGAATTTTTAACCACATACCGTTGCAACGGAGCTTGCAGTCGATCGACATCAACTTGTCGACGGTGCCAGCTACAACTAACCTATCAGTCTTTTTTACGGAAAGACGGTCATCACATCCTTACACACCAATAACAAAGGAAGTCATTTTCCTTACAACACAACCGGTATATAAAATGGCGGCTTGACACGAAATGATTACAAGGAATGTTTAGTTGTTACATATACGAGGAGATTTTTAAAAAAATGTATACTACCATCCATTAAGCGAATACAAATTTTCTAAAGTTATACAATTTTGGACTTTAACATCTTTAAAATATGTTATGAAACATTGGGAATGTAATTCCATTTTTATCACAATACGAATAGAGCTTAAGTCTCGAAGTGTTTATAGATGCTAGTGACGTACGCCATCACCTGCTGCCAGTCAGGTCTCTCCTGCTGGATCATGTCTTGAATGTTCTGTGTAGAATAAAACACTGTTTAGTTGTGTATCACCATGTGTCCATCAGAGAGAATCCATCAACCCATTTTAATCCAACTATGCGCCAATACTGTGACGAATTAATTCTAAAATATGATAGAGTATAAACACCTAGTATAGCACAGATCAGATACCAAGACCAGTGACAAGTATTTTGTTTAATTTATTATCAGCAGTGATTGACAACAGTCCTGCCTGGTGATAAGTGGTGATATCAACACTTACCACTATCTTGCGACAAGACAGTGCGATTTATCACTTAGGTCAATGTAGCTATAAGTGATAAATAACACTGTCTTAGTATTTATAGTATATATATATTAGTATAAGCCTGTTCTCTTCTGCTGTGATGACAAAATACTCTGTGTTGGCGAGAGCAATATGACAGCGATGCGTACGTAGTGTCAATGTGCGTGTGAGTGTGCGTGTGGTGTGCGTACCAGCGTGGTGGGGATGCCGGCGGCCTCGGCAGCGGCGAAGGCGAGAGCGAAGTTGGTGCGCTTGTCGTGCTGCGACAGCGACGCGTACGGCACGCGCGCTTCGCCCACGTACGAGTGCAGCAGTGCGCACAGCGCCAGGCCGTCGTTCCACGACGAGCTGTGCACCGCCAGCCACAGAAGGCGTATTGTTTAACATTAACTCTATTTAGAATTTTTCACTTTATAGAATAAGCACGACAAACGAGGATACAGTTCACCTGATGGTAAGTGGATGCTGTAAGTTACTGTCGGTTACAGGCTGTGACTGTTAGACATCTACATTTATTCTCGATTAAATATCAAAATGCAGATGCGTTGTCACTCGTGAGGACTAAGTTGGACTACTATGCCTTGTTTCAAGTAAGAAGTACGTTGGTATTGTGAGAGCATGATCCTCCGCCGGGCGAACTGACTCTTTCGTGTTAAAACCAACATAGAGTAGATTGCCTCATAGGAAGCATATTTACCATAATTGCTTCGCTTGGCAAACGGGTTTACAAACACAGTTACAAGGAAAACGCCGCTGCTTATCACTTGATTTGTTTCCCTCCGTCGTCTTTTACGACAGCCATGGAATGACATGGGGTTGTGCATATTCACCGCCCCTACTCGGTTAGATACCGCCACATCAGTTTAATATAAAATCTATTTAAAAATATAGCTATACTAAAAGGTCAATAACAAATATTCACAAAATAATACAGAGAATCAAAATATAACACAATTACAAACAAATCTGCATCAACGATTTCAATCTAGTTGTCGTGTGGTGGCGTCGTCATACATTAATCCATTCCGTCATTGGTATCGTATAATACGATCATACAAACTGCCAGGAAGGTGTTACTGCTTCCGATAGATGACATCATGGCCGAAGATCAGCGATTGGGAGCGTCAAAGGATTTCATGTCTATAGCACATTCGCGTTAAGAAAATTGTGAGTGCAACTGCAGGGCAAATGTGCATTCATAGTGGATGCATCCGGCTCGAAACACAATAAATTAATTAGTAAAAATAGAGAAGTTACATGTGTTTTTTTATTTTAGAAAAATTGTGAAGAAAAATTTAATAACAAAATTAATAATTCATTTTCATGCAATTTACAAGCAAAAATAGTTTTTTCAAAATGTAAATTTAAACGCCAGTGACGTCATTTTATCGCTTTAGTGACGCCACCGCATGGTAAAATGATAAAACACTCATGTTTACGTTTTCAAAATTAAAAAAATGATATTATATAATAAAGGTTAAACATATTTTAGTTACTTATGTTATGACACATGGTGATCTGAATATAGAAAATACAAAATACATCATGATTAGCCCACAACCTCAGCGGATATAATGACGTCACAACCAATCACAAGTCTTTTTTCATACTCTTTTTTACTAAAAATGGAATTGTTCATAAAAAAATATTTTTTTAAATATATGTACTTCAAATTAATTATTCTTTTATATATATAAATTTGTGGCCAAAAATGAATGCAACTTCTCTATTGTTAAACACGGAAGTAATTACGCAAGGATAATATATTAAAATAATTGGTAATATGATAATGGTAAACAGCATGAGCCCACGCGGCGTGGTTGGTGAACGATCGTGAACTGTCTTTATTAGCTATTGTGATGGTAAAGGTAAATAATTTGGATCAACATGTAAATGCTGACTGCGTGCGACATAACGTAAATGCAATGTACTTTGTACGAGCAATTATATAATTTATAGAAATGGATACAAATCACCTTAACACGAGTAAGTTTTCGCTCATATTTATTATAGAAGAACATTCCGGGAGTTCTAATGACATCACCCAAATGTCGCATGAAATTTTTGTGTATTCACAACACGCGGTCACAGCGTTTCTTCCATCGCATAACGAATACCACGTGTCGTGTAGGATGCTCTTCATAACAGTGGTAAAAGTGAAAATAACGTTCCAAGAATTACATGTAATCTATTTTGAATAAAAACTTACGTAGGACACTCAATAAGTTTTGAGGTATACAAAAAGTTTTCTAGATACTATTAATATTTATTTTACATCTTTTCAAAATATTCTTCATCATGCTCTATACAAAGTTCCATTCGCCTAAATCAACTCTGAAAGCACTGTTGTCAGTCTTGATCTGAGAGGTCGCAAATTGCTTCTTCGTAGGTAGCCACGGTTACTTCGGTGCTTGGAAAGAAAACTTTTACTTTCTTTGACTCTTGCGAACAAAATAAATCACAAGGAGCTAAGTCAGCGCTGTAGGGTGGGTGACTTAGAGTTTCAACACCAGATTCCTCAATAAATGCTTTTGTTCTAAGGGAGGTATGTGAAGAGGCGTTATCGTGATACAGCATGTATTCCCGAAGCCCGGTCTTTGGTCTTGTCTTCCGAACAGCTTGAAAAGCTTAGGTAAGGCATCTGTAGTATACCATACAGAGTTGACTGACCTACAATTTTCCAGCATTTACGTCGACAAATGTCCGCTCCGCGAAAAAAAACTAGCCACCATTTTTTTGCCGACTACTAAACTAACTGTAACTGTCCGTCTGAGTAGACCCATACCGCATACCGATGATTGGCTTTTATTTTCCGGATCATATTGATAGATCCGTGTCTCGTCACCAGTAACGATTTCTAAAACATACCTAAATGCCACGTTTTCAAAACGTAGACGCATTTCATGACACCAATCCACACGAGTCTGTTTTTCGCTTTCGGAGAGCAAACGAGGGATCCATCGACAACAAAGCTTCCTCACTCCAAGATGTTGATGTAGGATGATATGAATGCTCCCCGAACTAATGCCTACAATCTTTTCGATGTCCGTATATGTGATTCGTGGGTCTTCTCGCACCAACATTTCAGTAGTCCATATATTTTCTGCCGTTACTGCTGTTTGCAGGGCCCCGGTTCTGTGATCATCTTTAAAGTTAATTGTACCCCTTTAGAATTCAGCAAACCATCTAAAAATTGTTGCGCGTGATGGAGCTGAATCCCCTAATGCTGATTATAACCGTTTGTTCGGTTAAACCAAATTAAAAATTATAATAGATCATAGCGCGCAAATGTTCACGGTTAATATCCATCCTTTTAAATGAAAAGCGTGGGAAGCGTTGCAGGAAAATTAATAGAACATTGTTTTTTTTTTAATATTGAGCAATTGGCTTATGGAGTTCTATTTTTAAATAAATTTGGGTGCGTTCCATTTTTAAATTTCGAGCATCTCAAAACTTATTGAGTGACCTACGTATTCTATTCTATTCTAAAAGGAAGAAATATGAAGCGACACTAATAATTAGTTAACAATAACACTAACAATTATTGATAAGAGTACTTTTAACACATAACATAAATTGAATAAAGCTAATAATTTAATAAAGAAAATAATATGTTAAGAATACATATTTTAAACACATATTGTAAACTGAAACGTAAATTTATCACGTCTTAGTAGACTAATGACTGTATTCAACCACGTGAGCATTAGCAAATAGCAAATAGCGTAGCAAGTAGTATTGTTATTTGAAGTTACTTGTGATAACCTGTTAAAATTTATAATGCTATGCGCGCAGATCTCGTACTAAACACACCAAATTTCACCCTTAAGAAATCCTAGGGGAGTTTTATAAAGCTAATACGAACTGTAAACCTATTACTTAGGTACAAGTACGGACTACTGAATTGAAGTCTTAGGTTGGAATCCGTTACATAACAAAAGTGTTGACAACATTGTTGATATTCTTTTCCCCCACACTAGAATTTTATCCTGTATCGTGGAGGCAGTTTACATACATGAATTGCACAGGGACAAACATCCAGAACAGGAATAATTACGTGTAGGCCTTACAAATACTTGTTCATTGCTGTGCCACTGCGCTACTGAGCCGTTTAAAAAAGCACGCAGCACTGCGATTACCTGAAGTTGGTGATGTCGATGTTATTGTAGCCCATAGTCTTCTGCTGACACCACTTGAGCAACGCGTTGCGCTTGGAGCCGCCGTTCTTCACTTGCAACGCATTAAGAGGATCTTTTCTTTCACCTGGCAACACGTAATAAAATTAAAATGCAAGATTATTAAGGAAACATAATTCGATAATGATTTTAGGTTAATTTCCAGAAGTTTATTAAAAGTCCTGGAAATTAAATGTTAGAATTCATTTTCTGAATGTATGGCTTCTACATCTCTTTTTATTTTTTATTATTCTAAGCCAGCGCTTCACCACCATCCCGTCTGACGGCAAGTGCCACAGACGGTTAAGCGCACTGACTTATCAAAAACCTATTCACTCTTGCTTCAAACACAATCGGATGGGGACGCAGGTGCAGACAACATATTCCACTCCTTTCCTGTACGCATGTTGAACTATGTAGCAAACCGCTTGGTTCGAATGCGTGGTAAGTCAACAACGAAAGGGTAAAGACTGGCCGAACGTCTGATTGTATGATGGTGGAACGGGGAGGGAGAAATTAAATTATGCAATTCTTGCGCACACTATCCGAAAATGGATCCTTTAGAAAACCGAAAGGCTGGCTACGTTGCGCCTGTGCTCGAGGCTGGTGAGGTTGGTGTTCACCACATTCTGGTGACCAATAAGCCTCATAGTACGCCTTTTTACTGAGTCCAAAGTTGCTAGATGACATTTTGTACCAGCCCATATATGACACCAACACTCCTTGCACGGTCGGATTTGTGTTTTATATAAAGTAAGCAACTGTCGCACCTTTGCAAGGACTCCTAGCTTCCTTGCAGCTGCTTTGGCCTTGGACTCAATGAATCGCCACCCGAAGTTCAGATTTGAGAATATCTCAACCCCCAACAACTGAAGGCGGTTGGTGTATTCCAGTGACAGATTGCGGAAAGAAGAAGCCACGCTTATGTTTTGGAGGCGTTGAATTTTAAAAGATTGGCATCGCCCTATTCGGAGACTGCCTGTAGTGTGAGATTCTAGTAGGAGACAAGCTCTACCATAGCTTCTCTTTCTGGGATTTAATCCCGACTGGCCCGACGAATTGGTTGGTATGTCTTCACAAGTGTGCTATCGTCTACATACCCAAAGATACCGAGCACAAGCAGATCATTAGCATGCAGCAGGAAGAGAGTTGCGGAGAGAACGGACCCCTGAGGAACACCGGCGTTAGTCGTAAGAGGATCGGATGAGCAGCCATCGACTACGACCCGAAGATACCATTTACTCAGAAAGTCCTTTACCCCGTCAATCAGATCAGAGGATAAACCGTACGCTGGAAGCTTACCCCAAAGGCTAGCGTGCCAAACTCTGTCAAAGGCCTTTGAGACATCAAGGGAAACAGCAAGTGCTTCCCCACTGTTCTCGAGTGTCTCGTCTCATACGTGTGTGGCATACGCTAAAAAGTCCCCCAGCTGACCGATATCGGCGAGACCCATATTGACGGTCACTAAGGAGATCCTTCAATTCTAGGTATGCCCATTAAGCGAGCTTTATATTGAACGCTTCATAATTTTGCAGAGTCCTGAGTATTTTTCCTTATTTGCTGTATTTATATGTGCACCATTTATTGTGAGAGGCGAAAAATGTAGATTCTTATTCTTTTTTTTTTTCGGAAAGTATGATTTAGTTTGTTGTAGAAACATTAGTTATCAAACGTTATAAATTGTATGAGAACCATTCTTGCAAGAGGTTATATATAGTGTTTTTGGTCCTTCTTTACGACTGAATTAATGTAAAAGAGGCAGGCATCATCCGCGTACAGGGTAATATGCCTCTTTAAGCCCGTTTTTATATTGATATTTTTTATATTAGACACAGCAAAGGCCGAAATCCTTGGGAGACACCGTATTGAATAAACTTAGGGCGGCTAAAACGTTTATCTAGTTAAACTACATGAAAACGGTTTGTTAGATACGACTTTATCATTTATAGTGCCGATCCAATAATACCAAGTGCAGAAAGTTTACACAATAGAATTTCATGACTTACATTGTCAAATGTCAAAAAAACGGTATTTATTTTATTTATTTATTTATTTATTAGGAAGCCAACATGATATTGTACAATGATGTTTACAAATTTTATAGATTAATCTGAAGTTTAGTACATATCATACTTATAGGCTTTTATTTTTAAAAGTGGTATAAGAATCGTTGAATATGTCAAGATCGACTAATTTAGAAATTACATTATAAGTTTTTAAGGTTCTATTAATTGGAGCTGATAGTTCGACATTTGTTCTACAATACCTAGTTTTGAATAAACTATAATTTCTTATTCTATAATTAGGTCTAGGAATAACATATGATATTTTACCTAAAAGATTATTCGAGCTAATTTTATTGTTAACGATTTTGTGTAACAAGCATATGTCCATAAGCGCTCTTCGATCATTTAATGAAATCACATTACAATTATCTAGTCTTTCAATGTAAGTTAATTGCCTGTGTATTTTGTTATTATTGAAATAAAGGTACTTAAGGAATTTCTTTTGCACTCGTTCTATCCTATTTATATGTGTTTGATAATGTGGATTCCAGACAGAAGAACAATTTTCAAGATTACTAAGAATAAATGAGTTAAAAAGAATTACTTTGGATTTTTTATTTTTAAAAGTTTTAGTTACCCGTTTAATTAATCCTAAAAATTTCAATGATTTTTTTATAACTTCATCCATATGCGTAGTGAAACTTAATTTGCAGTCAATTAAAATACCTAAGTCACGAATAACATTTGTCTTTTTTATGACAAAATCATTAATTTTATATTCATTAAAAATTGGATGGATTTTTTTATTAAAAGATATTTGGTAACATTTTTCATGATTAAGGATTACATTATTGAGCTCGCACCAGGAGACCAGCCTATTAATATCATTTTGTAGTAAGTTTCCATCATTAACGGTTTTTATTTCTTTAAACAATTTTAAATCATCTGCAAAGAGAAATACATCACTATTCAGGAAACAATTTACTACATCGTTTATAAAAATATTGAACAGAGTTGGCCCCAAGTGTTGGCCCTGTGGCACACCTGAATATGCTATAAATGCCTCAGATTGAAATCCATTTATTACAACCTTTAGCTTTCGGTTGTGTAAGTAAGAAAACACCCATTTTAAAAAGGAGCTGTGGAATCCATAACATTCAAGCTTTTTTATTAGTATGGAATGATTCACGACGTCAAACGCTTTGGAGAAGTCTGTATAAATTGCATCAACTTGGAGGTTTTTGTCCACAGACACACATAAATTATCAATATATTCACAAAGATTTGACTCTGTGGACCTTCCTCTCAAAAATCCATGCTGCCTATCAGTTAGTATAGATTTCATGTGCCAATTTATTATTGGACAGATGATAGCCTCAAACACCTTTGGGAATACGGATAGTATTGATATGGGCCTGTATTTTGTTATATCGGTCCTATCTCCGCTTTTAAAAACAGGCACAACTCTAGCCTCCTTCCAAGCGCTTGGAAAAAAACCCTCTTTCAAGGAAGCATTATATATGATACTTAAAGGGCGCGCTAGGGCTGCTGCACATTTCCTAGCAAAGAAAGGCGGTATATTGTCGGGACCAGCGCTTTTATTGCTGTCAAGTTTCTTAAGCTTTGATTCTACTTCCTCTACACTTATATGTATATTAGATAAAGTTTGATTAATACCAACGCATTCAATGTTAGGAATCTTATTTTCTTTGCCTATAGGATAATCAGAGTATATACTTGAGAAATGTTTTGCAAAGCTATTACATATGTCTGTACCATTGGAAAAAATTTGTGCATTTAATGTCATATACGAAGGATATTCACTTTTATTATTTCTTATCTCCTTTAAATATGACCAAAAATATTTTGGATTACTAATTATATTTTCTTCTACATTTTTAATGTGATTTTTATAGCATGAGTTTATTAAGGTTTCACATCTTTTACGCAGTAATTTAAACGAGATTTCATCAAGAGGGTTTTTATACTTATTATATAAGTTTCTGTATTTATTTTTTTCTTTTAACCTTTTTATTAAGTCTTTTGAAAACCAACGCGGATATTTACCATTTCCTGTCTTATATTTCCTAATATGCCGACCTATAATCTCGCGGAGCTTGCAATAAAAGACTTTTAACATTTCATCAACATCACCACATGTAATAAAAATTTCATTCCAAGATATTTTTTCTATCTCCTCGATAATAATGCTGTAATCTGCATTATAAAAATTCATTCTTTCGTTTATGTTTGTTTCTAGGTGTGAAACTGGAGTAAAATTTATACTGATTTCTAGGGGAGGGTGATGTCTGTCTATGTGGCTTAAGGGATAAGGCCTTTCTCTAACTTCGTTGATTTTAAATGTACTTTCTTTATTACTTAATATTAGGTCAAGAGTTTTGTTAAAGACGATTTTCAGCTATGAAATCTATAAAATATTCGTTTATCTTGCCACTATTACTAACAGGAATAAGATATTTTTGACTAGTTTGTTCAGTCCAGATTATATCGGATAAATTAAAATCGCCTATTAATATTGTATTAGTTTGCTCAACTGATACACGGGAAACATTATCACAGAAGCTTTTAAGACACTCATAATTTAAAGGCGATGGCAAGTAAACACTGCAAATCGATAAAGTAAAATTTGGGTTACCTGCTTTAAAATCAATGTTAATCCACATATCCTCGTAGTCGCTTTCCCATTTCATAACTCTATAACTTTTAAGTTTTTTTGATACTGCAATAAGTACGCCACCACCGTCATGCTTGGTACGCAAAATAGAAGATTCTCTGTCACGTCGAAAAACCACGTATCGTTTATCTATAATTTCATTATTTAATATACTTTCACATAGCCAAGTTTCGGTTAACACAATAATGTCAAATTCCGAATTTAAAATAGCACTATATACCTCATGAGTTTTGGTTTTAAGACCTCTAATGTTTTGATAAAAGACACTAATACAGTTCATCAACTAAACAAAAGTGTAACTGAGTTAAAAATATATTATATGTTTTAAATTTCTAAACAAAAAAAAAATAATAATAAATGGTATGGTTTTAAGAAATTTCGTTAAGGAACTCCAAGTTCTTAACAAGAATTACATCAGTGGACGGCGCTTTTCTTAAGTAGATGTTACCATTCCGCGACCAGACGAATTTATACGATTTCTCTTTGGCAAATCGACGAGCAGCTGCGTGTAATGCCTTGGCTTCCGGGGTAAGATGTTCACACACGAAGACAGGCATTTTTTCACCTGCTATTCCCAAATGTGAAGAGTCCAGTTTATCAGACGGATGGGTTTTATTGTAATTTATTACATTAGCAAAGAATTTATCTCTCAATAGGGGTGTTGCAAACTTCGCCAAAACAGTTCGTGGACGATTGTTCTCCTTATTCCACTTCGCAATCCGGGTGCATTTAACTATATGGCCATCTTCTACATAGCTACCTATAGTTTTTCCTATTTGTTGTAAAGTGTTAACTAAGTTTTCACCACGGTTTTCTGGTATGCAGTGAAATTCTAAATTATTTACTCTTGTTTCTTTTTCCATAATAGTCAATCTGGAATTTATTTTTATTTGATTTTCGCGAAGCTTAGTATTTTCATTTTCATTTTTAATATTTCCTGCATAGCCTCTTCTAATTTTTTTTGTTGCTTATCGTACATAGATTGTAATATATCCATTTTATTTTTAATTTCCTGTATACCACTTACTTCCAGCCTAATAGCTTTGAGGTCTGGGCTCACTGAATTTTCTAATATATTACTTATTTCGTCTCGTATCAAGGATATTATGGTATGATTTACAGGTGTCTGCGTTTGTGTAGGAGAAGAATATATTTCATCATTTTTTGTAATTGGAGAGGCCATAAGGCCTTCAGTTTGGTTACGGCTCTGGCAAAATGAGCATTTAAATGACTTCACACTTAGGGATGTCTTCTTAAATGACGTACTGGTAAAACCAACACATTGATAGTGAAACACGGCCGGACAGGCTGTGCATTTAATCTTATCTTTTTGAAATAGGGTTGTATTACATGAATTGCAAGACATGTTACTTGTAAATAAAAGTATTAACTATATAACTTTCAATGTTGAAGATTAATCGGATATAATTTGTTAAATTTGTATTCAATATAAATTTAATAGTGGGTATCTTCGCTTACTTCTCTGCCCATCCAACGCACTTTGCAATATACAGCTGCTGTGGTCGCGCAAAAAAGGTCTTAAGCGCCGTGCATGTGAAGGCGCTTACTCGTTCATGTCAACACAGCAAAACAACACTTATCAAATTCTTGGAGAAAAAATTTTCGCACATCTATAATTGTTCTGATTTATAATTTCACTATTTTATTGTACTAAATAGTCAAAATCCATGGCTTAACTTAAAACACATTCCCACAGCTAATTTAACTCTTATTTTTCACCATCTTTTTTTTTAAATTTAGACGGAGCTAACAGCGCGTGCGTTACGTTGCGAACGACGGTATGTGAAATAAGAATAGAAGGAGAGTTAATTGAGCAAGTGGATGAGTTTTTGTATTTGGGATGTGTATTTAGCAGGGATGGTAGATATGATAGGGATATAGAACGACGAGTAAATGCAGGGAATAGAGTGAATGGGGCACTACACTCTATTATGAAGAACCAGAATGTGTCAAAAAAGGCACGTATGGTAATTCATAATGCTGTGTTAGTCCCTACTTTATTGTATGGTAGTGAAAGCTGGGTGTGGCAGAAGAAGCACGAAAGTAGAATAAATGCTGTAGAAATGCGGTCTTTAAGGAGTATGCTAGGGTTGAATCTGAATGACAGGGTGAGAAATTGCGTGATAAGAGATAAATGTGGTATGCAAGATGATGTTGTGACCAGGATTAAGAAAGGAATGCTTCGGTGGTTTGGTCATGTAGAAAGAATGTGTGAGGAAAGAGTGACAAAGCAAATTTATATGGCAGATGTGAACGGCCGAGTCGGGAAGGGACGCCCTAGAAAAAAGTTTATCGACCAAATTGGCGATATTTTGAAAAGGGGCCACGTTAGAAGTACCCTTAACCGACGAGCGTGTATGCGTAGATATATGGATGTAAAGGAGGCGAGAGAGGTATGTCAGGATCGTGCCAAATGGAAGTCCGTAGTCTCTGCCTACCCCTCTGGGTGACAGGCGTGAGTGTTTATGTTTTTTATTTTATTACATTGTCAAATGCTTTCTTTAGATCAATAAAACTTCCAAGTGCTACATGTTTTGGTCTTTACTGGTTACAATAACTTGTAGGCTTTTAAGTCAAGAAATTGTCAGCAGCAACATGGAGTCAGGAACTTGGCGATATTTCATCCCTGTGTCTCGGAAAGCACGTAAAGCGGTTGCTCCTTCGGTCAAGTTAGATTTTCATCCGTGGGTGAAAAGAAAACGCACTTGTGCTTTTGCGTATACAATCGTGCACCATAATCCTGTCCTACGTAGATACGAGTAATTAGTCCCCGTTGAGACTCTCTCTATCGTGAGGAAAAACATTATAGAGTTGAATATAGTGTGAAAATGTACTCACATATGTCGCCGTAGCTGTTGCGGCGCACGAAGGACTCCATGGCCTTCTGTTGCAGGCTGGCCAGCGCGCGCTCCTCGTCGGGCACGTTGGTGGCCGCCTCTGCACCACGCGCCACGTTAGCACCGCACTCGCCCGCGCCCACCCCCACCCCCCACCGGTACCACACCACGCATAAACCCACGCGACCCTTTGCATTCTCACCAACACATACTAATGCAAAACTGCACTAGCCGAAGCAGTTTCGGTTTTTTTATAGAATAAGGATGGCAAAAAGTCTGATCATAAACATACCGTTTGATACATTACAAAAAGACAGAAGTCCCAAGGAAGATAAAAAACACTCTCACATTTAAATCGATAGAGTTTTTAAGACATTACTGAATACATTGAAAAGCGCGGAAAAACAAGTTGCGACAAAAATATTTTTTATATTTTTATAGAATAAAGGTGACAAGAGAGCACACAGTCCACGTGATGGTAGGTGGATGCTGTGGCCCGTACACATTTACATCCTCAATTAAGAATCAAAATGCAGATGCGTTTTCACGCGTGAGGATTAAGATGGCATGCCTTAATTCCAGTAAAAAAGGTGTCCGATTTTTTACACTCGCCATACGAAACACAGCAGCATTAAGAGAGCGTGGCTTTGTAAGGATAGAGATTCCTACTTATTTTCATATTTTATAAATTTAATTCAAAAACATTTATTTAAAAATTACATACGCAGAACTACAAAGATTTTTATTAAACATTCGCATTTAACGAAAACATATTCAATCATTTCATATCAAATGAAGAATTTGCTTCGGTTGACTACGATGTAATTCGCGGAAGACTACTTCGGTAAAGAATGCAAAGGAGTCAGAAATGTACTCACGAACTTTAGTCGACACTCTCGCACGTGACAAGCAACTTTACGTGACAGGATGTAACGCACAACACTGGGATTACAAACGGACGCCAAGCCGACAGGGGAACAAATCAATTGCACTGCCGCGTGCATAAACATACATATAGTTTCGGAAATGAAATTAGTAAAAATTAAAATTTTAACAAACACCATTTGTTCTCCGCGACTATACTTTATAGGAATATTTTTTTTTATTGTAACACCACAACCGGTTGAGAGGCAAAGGTTAGTGACACTGATAGCAGTGGGGCACGGGCGGCACGCAAGAGTTAGAAAAAACATAAGAACGCTAGGTATAATGTGTAATTTGTTGCCATAAAATTCATGCGAATCGTCCAATAATCCAATCCTCGACACTAGATATAGAATAAATAGATATAGTATAGATGGTTAGATGATTGTACAGTGCAGCATAAGAATACGACAGAACGAATAGTCTGAAGCGAGGATTCAGATTTGCGTTGCGCAGATTCTTAAATAACAATAGCAGCCAATTAAAGTTTATGGATTTCTTAAAATATGCTCAAGATAACTAAAATCTATGACTATGAACATTGAATCTACAAAACATATTGTAATCAGTATTGAGCAGTTTTCGTTTACTATATCAATCTAGTAACAATAGTACTTATACAAAACTAATTGAACGCTATCATAATAACTAATCCGGTAGGCAATACCAGTTATAGGAGGTCAACAAAGAATACTAGATTAAATAGTTAGTAGGTAGATATTGGAAATAAGAGGTAAGTAGAGTTAGGCAGATATAATAAATTAGACACAGGCACACGGACAAAAGTTACAATTTAAGTCTAAAGCTATATGGCTTATCCGCCCTTTTCATGCCGCCATGCTGGAATCAAAACAAAAGCGACTACTTACATGCGTTACTTACAAATAGACTGTCAGAGTGTGTGCGTGTTATATTAAATATTTTATACATAGTATATATATGTTGGTAGTATAGGTTACCTATTTTACACCTATCGTAGACGATAAAAGTAACAAATAAATAAATTGTTTTTAACTGTATGAGCATACAAGTTAAGAAGAACAGACGGATATGTATATAATTTATAATTAAAGGTCAATCATATGCTGTCTGTAAAAGTAAGGCTACGCTCGGGGTTTTTCTGCGCGATAGACTTAAAAATGAGGATATCCGCAGTAGAACTAGAATAACTTACATAGCTCAGCGGATTAGTAAGTTGAAGTGCTGGGCATATAGCTCGAAGAATCGACAATCGATGGAGAAGAAAGATTCACGAGTGGCAGCCTCGTACCGGAAGACAAAGTGTAGGGCGAACTACAACTAGATGTTTTTATAGAAGAGGGGGCAAACGAGCATGCGGCTCACCTGATGGTAAGTGACTACCGCCGCCCATGATCAACCGCAACACCAGAGGAACTGCATTGCGTTGCCGGCCTTTTAGAAAGGAGTAAGCTCTTTTCTTGCAGGTCCCTAAGTCATATCGGTCCGGAAAAGTCGCCTGTGGTAAAGAATTCCACAGAGAAGATGTACGAGGAAGAGAACTCCTAGTAAAACGTACAGTAATGCACCAGCAAGCATCCAAATGGTGGAGGTGGTATCGGAAATTTTGACGCGATGTGCGTTCGTGAAATTTGGCGGCTGGAACTAATCCGAACAATTCTTCAGAACACTCCTCATGGTAGCTACGATAGAAAACGCAAAGTAATACTATATTATATTATATTAGTATTATAAAAAAAAATTATTTTATATTATTTAAATTATGAAAACAATATTAATATTATAAAAAAAGAAAGTACTATGTTACATTAATACGTTTGTTGGTCCGCAATAAGTAGCTATTATTACATCGATTGTCATAAAAATGCATATACACAGGCGAAACAAAAGTAAAAAGTGAATAAAATGCGCATTCAATACTCAGTTACAAAATCATGCCTAAGAAGACTTAGTTACAACAAGCATTTTTAAAACACACACATCAATTTTTTTTTCTTTTTCAAAATTAAGTAAGAAAAAATCGAGGTGCAAGTAATGAAGCGAGAGTAATTGGTAGACTTCGGAGAACTTCCGAATGTCGTTTTATTTACTAATTAACCTTTTCCCTGTCCCACGAATCATATGTCAACATTGCGATTGTTTAACTATTGTGTCTCTATCGCGGACAGAAAAACTGTTAATGTTACGTGTTACTTGAAAATAAACATTTTTATTAATAATTATTAAGGGTTCGTGTGACTGTATGTGTAAATTTTGCATAATGTCTCACACATTTGTCCCATGTAAGTCTGGGACCCATGTTTATGTTTTTGCTTATGTGGTGTGGTAATTTTGACAAAACAGAATGTGCTTACTGTGTTACCTGATGGATAACAAATGGGATATATGGTTTTGCGGTTGAGTTGCCTATAGGCCAGTCGCCGTAGGGGTCCGAGTGACTCGTGGCTCTTTGAGCTATGTCTATCACCACGGCGATATTTTTATAACGACAAGAAATGATGTAGATGGAATACTTTTGATTGGTCGAAGGTTATGGGGCAAATAAACGTCACTCTTTGAGGATTGAGATTATACATGGTTTTGAAATTTAATTAAAATTATGTATTTATTTTATTTGAAAATTAACTTTGAACTTCATTGACTATTTTGAAATACTTTATATGATAACAGAGTTTTATTTATTGTATAATAAGCTACGACAACCCGTGCAGACATATATAAGTGTTTTATTTAATCCTTACCAACCGTAATTTAGTGCTATACTATTTTTATGTGATTTTTATGTAAAAATTTTATACGATAATTTCATTTACTTAGTAAAAGTTATTTCATTTAGTAAGCACAAATACAATAGGAATGAATGACTGCATAAATGAACAAGGTTCGCTCGCAACATTAAAATGTCAGTTACTAAGCCTACACAGCTTGGTATATCGCAACTACTGTGTAAATTGTCCATCATAAAATATTTGAACTCGCGGATTTTTCCTGTGTACAAATGTAAGTGACATAAAATTGAAAAGGGGTGATCTGCAGTTTTGTATTTGATCAGTGTATACATATAAGGCGTATAAGATGGACAGGAGGAGATCCTCGAGTGTCTGTGTGTGTTTGGTGTGTGCGTGTGTGTAGCTCTGCCCGTGGGCGTGGTGCGTGTGCGGCGGCAATGTGTAGTTGTATCGCGCGTGTGTGGGTGCGCGCGTGCGGTACCTGCGGGCGCGGGCGGGGTGCGCGCGGGCCGCGGCGGGGGGGCGGCCGTGGCAGTCGGCTCGCCGCCGCCACCGTTGCTGCCACTGCCACTCGCCGGCTGACCAATGCGACATGAACATTAACAACTATACATTTCTTTTGAATTATGGGAAAACTCATAGTAACGAATTCTGCCAATGTCAAGTCTTCTTTTTTTGGTAATAGATTCGTACGCTTTAACTTTTAACTTCTGCCGCTGTCAAATAATAATCAAAATTATATTTTATAGTACACTTTTTCACAATATACTGATGCGTCACATTAAGGTTTTTGGGTTTAAATGACAGCTTAAGCCTACGGAAAATCGACGACGACATTATCACAAGTTGTTAAGGTGCCCAATGACTTGAGAATTATATCAAGATCAAAGAACTTGTTTCGTCGTTTCCAATAATAATTAATATGCGCAGACCTTGAATATACATAATCGTACAATTTTTACGTATTAAATGCCACTTCAAACGATTATTCAAACGATAAAACTGGACCAATAATCCGTCGGCGGTTAGGTTTCCGCCAAAACTTTACAACAAAGACTTTACCAGGTAAGACTCTACCAGGTAAGACTCTACCAGGTAAGACTAAACCAGGTAAGATATATACTCCTAGGGTACTAATGCATTAACACTAATTTACGTTCAGTTATCTATAACTTCTTTAGTCGACTTCGAGCGACCAAAAACATTTGTTCATTGATTTGTAAACCGCGTAGATACGTTGTTTTCGACAATCTAATACGGTTTTTCTAATGTGACTAAGAAAACTGTCATTATTTGTGTGCGCACATTGTCAACGTGATTAGAAGTTTACTTCAGATAAGTGTGTAACTTTAGTATTTGTCTAAAAACAGTAAGATTCGTAAATGAAAATACAGCGACGTGGCATATGCATCGTACTAGCGAGCCCGCACCAGCTCTCAGCGCGATTCACAGCTGGGTCACAGATTTTGTTCTAAATTGCAGGTCTAGTGCTATACATAGACGTCTTTGTTATATACTTCATTTATACATAGCGACACGAGCTGTGAGCACAGCCTTCATGCGCAACAGTCGATTTGGGCCCACCATATACATACAAAATTCCGTTTCGAAATTCCGATTCGGCATTCCGAAGGCAGTCAGTTGTAGGAGGCGATACAGGGAAGTTGAAGATATATGAGCAGCAGCATCTTCCTAATAACAACTTGAAATAATGCAATAAATGCTATTTGTAGATCGCATCAAAAAACTTTGAGGTTATTTTCATTCCCATCCTTGCAGAACTAATTTCCTTAACCGCTCGTTAACAGTGCTAGATTACAGAATGAGCTTACTGCTGTAACTCCATGGGTATGAACTACGGAAGCTAAGGACAACAGTGCCAGTGCTTGGAACACAAATTAAAGACCACTCCCTTTCATTGATTTGTCGAGATTGTCATTGAGAGATGTGTCATGCAATGCACGACATGTGTTACACAAATGCAAATGTGTAACATGTAGTTTAAGTTAAATTTTTGGTTAAACATTTGGGTATTTAGAGACAACTTCAAGTTTAAATTCATTGTGTAACATAAAATGATCTCGAGTTATTTTGGACATTGTGAGGTTTGTGTTTAAACTTGAGAATGTCACCTGCGGCCAGTCTGCGGGGGGCGCGGCTGGTGCCTGCTTGGCCGCCTTGGCCGCGTTCTCGATGCTCTCGATCAAAGATTTCACCGACAGCCGCGAGTCCTGCCGGCTCACACCTGCAGTCACATATGCCTTCACTCAACCCTTCAATTCCCGTAATCGCCACGTACTAGCAGCGGATAATAAACAACCCACTGCCTCGTGCAGCAGATCCCGTCAGTATCACAAGATGACACTGAGAAAAATGAAACAGTAAATAGGCACCGACATCTTTCTTAAAACTTACCTAAAATTGTTTAAAAAAAAAGATTTTATTTATGTTAATATCTACAGCATTTATAGACTAGTTTTACCTTAGGACAAATATCATTTTGAGTAGCTACAGTTATTACTAATCTTTTATCTGCTATTCCTTATTTAGGAACAATATTAATAAATTGAATTTGAGGGGAATTTGCTGTTGATAGGCTACTTAATCGTAAAATAACTCGTTTTTATTCATTTCATTTCTTATTTTAATAATAACTATAATTCTTACATCAAACAGGTTCTAATAATCCTTTAGGAATTAATAGAAATTTAGATAAAATTTTTGGAAGTTGGATTTATTATTATATTAACATTAACTAATCCTTATCTTTTAGGAGATCCCGATCATTTTATTTCAGCCAATCCTTTAGTAGCTCCAATTCATATTCAACCTGAATGATATTTTTTATTTGCTTATGCAATTTTACGATCTATTCCTAATAACTTTGTATATATATACAAAGTGTATGTAGGTACTAGCGACTGACAAATCAAATATACTATAGTCGAATAGAAAGTCACGCACTACACAAGAACTAAGGAAGTGGATAGCATACATACGAGTATCCGTATAGCGCACGCACAAGGCAGTTGCGAACGGTGACGAAGAGGGATGACGGTATAAGAGAGCGCCATGCCGTTTGCCGTTCGTATGCCGCCGAGTCGTTTTACCGGCAAGGCGCGCCAATAGATATTATGTATCAAAACTTACCATAGCCAATACGCCTGCTAAGCGTGGCGATTGTGGCACATGTCCCTCATGAAATTATCTATGTAAGGGGGAGCCCTGTGTCTGGCAGTGGACTTTTGATAGGCTGTAATGATGATGACGATGATAATTAATTAGCGGAAACACGTAAACATTTGCCCAAAATGAATCCAGATTGTATCATCCAACATTCATCAAACATAATTTAATGTGAAAATTTTGGTTTTTTTGAAAAAAAAATACAAAAAATGTAGCAGAGGTGGATCGCAATACAAAAAATAATAATTTAAAACGAGCAAATGTTTCATTTAGTGGATTAGTCATTAGTCATTACTTAGGCTACCTTTGTTCCTGCGGTGTGAAGCCGCGGTGGCCATGATGTCCTGCAGCGAGGCGCTACTCAGCAGCGGCGCCGGGGCGTCCTCTGAGCGTGGGGGATTTGCTGCAAGTACAACAAAACACTAAGTCCCCCTTCTCTCAACGCTCTATTTGTTTCAATGCTTTTTCTTTTTCATGGCTTTTTCTGACACCAGGGCGGCGCCACTTGGGAATAAGGTGAAATATTTGACAGATTTCATAACGGGGGAAGATAATTTGTTTATAAAATGTTTAATGTTTCGTTTTAAAATATTAGTTATACTATATATTAATTAGATTGGAATTGGATAAACTAAACTACGGATATTCTTAATTTCAGAAAAAAATAAAAAAGTGCACGTATTTAGAACTCGATTAACTTTTCTTTAAGACGCAATTTCTACATTAAAATACATCGTATAACAAAAAGTTCACATCACTCCCAACTACGCGACATTTGGTAAGCGTAAAATTATTGGCCTGCATTTAAATAAAATGGAAATGCTGACAATAGCTCGTTAGACTGAAACCACCGTAGACAGAGAAACCTGTAGATTAATGATTAGCGTGGCCTCGAGTGAGAAAGGACGATAAAGTAAAGTTTTAGGTTATACAATAATCTTTATGACTTTTAAACATATTTAGGTAAAATTTTTAATTGTTCTAAGAAGTGAACTGAACAAGCTTCACCAATCTTAAGCTCACAAAATACTTTTTTTCTCACTTAAACCAACTTGTAAACTCCTTAGATCGCTACGAACTGTCAAAGTTGTTTAGCAAAGTGTAGTTTGCTAAACAAAAAAACCGGCACGGAGAAAGGGACAAGCAATCACACCGCTCTGTCTCATTTCTATGCAAGACGTATGCATAAATCTATCTTTTTCGTGTGCGAATGCGAAAGAAGGCGTCAATTTGTCTATAGGTTTCTCTGTCTACGGACGCCACAGACAACAACGGCTTTCGACTAGGAAAACCATAAATTGTTACCGACATGAGATTGTTACCAAAATGTAGAACATTGTCAATTTAATGCATATCATCAGTTTATTTTTAAAAACTCGGGAAATATAAATTATCGTCTTTAAAAAGAATAACTTCCCTTATCAGAACGCAATGTCAAATATCCTATTATTGAACTTCTCAATTGGGTTCTAGCCCTTCTGAGCCTGCATCCGTAATAATTTACGTTCTTAAACAAAAATATATATATAATAATATAATAAAGTATATTTTATTATATTATTTGTACATACACTTATATTATATATAAAATAAAGTATATATAAAATAAGTATATATACAAACTATGTTTTACTAGAGAAGTCCATAGGTACCAAAGATTATATAATGTAATAAAAACGTCTGTGATATCTACTATGTAATCACTATACTCTTTCCACTATGTTATTGTTGTGATTCTTATATCACGTTATAAAACTGATTTATCCTTTAAAGTATCTTAAAATGAACGTATATTAAATAAACAAAAATAATACATTATTCGTAATTTTTTTGTATCACATCGGTGTGTATATTTCGTAATTTTTTTTAAAGAAAAACTGACTTTTTTTTCATTATCTTAGGATTATTTTGTAGTTATATTTTTACCGACTTAAATATGCTTTTGTTCTAAAAATCACATAAAACTAACTTATGTTGATGTTTTTGATTAGGCTTAAATAATATATCTTTATTACTTCATAAAATCGTTATGCGTCTAAGAATACAAAGAGAGAAATTGTAATTCCATTTTGCTCATTACCCCAACAAATTGTGAAGGCGATTTTAATTCCACAGCCCACGTACACCGTAATCGTTACTTACAACAAATGTTCGTTTGAGAAAGGTACAAGAGGTTCTCCTAGGATCGTCCATGTGGAAAACCAGTAAAGACTGCGACCGGGAGAGTATTGAATTGGCGATTCAAGTAAATATTACGAAGCGATATAATTGCGAACTAAGTGATAAGTGTGATTAATTATTAGTGTGTTTTAAGTTGTAATTGGTGCTCGTAATTAAAATGTCAATTTTGGTAATTCAATCGGCAGGATTTTATTACCACGAACCCTAAGCTCGTAACATAATCTTTTTTTAGTCAGATAAAATTTTAAAATTTTTCAGTTATGTATAATATTTCATTTGACATTACAAAAGATTCTTAACCATTAATTGATACAACTCTCATTTCTCAAAATGACCTTTAACACGGCAGCATCTACATCAATTATTGCCAAATATTTGATGCCGTACATTTCATTTTCTTTTTTAAGAACTTTACTATCGGTTTTTATAATCAAATTGAAAAATAAAAAAAGGTATTTTTTGTTAAACAACGTATAAATAATACATTGTTTTCTTATGAATATTACCCATCTGAAGTGTTAGTAGATATGTAAGTTAAATTTGTCATTCAATTAATATAATTATTGCCAAATATTTGATGCCGTACATTTCATTTTCTTTTTTAAGAACTTTACCATCGGTTTTTATAATCAAATTGAAAAATAAAAAAAGGTATTTTTTGTTAAACAACGTATAATACATTGTTTTCTTATGAATATTACCCATCTGAAGTGTTAGTAGATATGTAAGTGAAATTTGTCACTCAATTAATATAATTATTGCCAAATATTTGATGCCGTACATTTTATTTTCTTTTTTTAAGAACTTTACTATCGGTTTTTATAATCAAATTGAAAAATACAAAAAGGTATTTTTGTTAAACAACGTATAATACATTGTTTTCTTATGAATATTACCCATCTGAAGTGTTACTAGATATGTAAGTGAAATTTGTCACTTAATATAATTATTGCCAAATATTTGATGCCGTTCATTTCATTTTCTTTTTTAAGAACTTTACTATCGGTTTCTATAATTAAATTGAACAATACAAAAAGGTATTTTTGTTAAACAACGTATAATACATTGTTTTCTTATGAATATTACCCATCTGAAGTGTTAGTAGATATGTAAGTGAAATTTGTCACTCAATTAATATAATTATTGCGAAATATTTGATGCCGTACATTTCATTTTCTTTTTTAAGAACTTTACTATCGGTTTTTATAATCAAATTGAAAAATACAAAAAGGTATTTTTTGTTAAACAACGTATAATACATTGTTTTCTTATGAATATTACCCATCTGAAGTGTTAGTAGATATGTAAGTGAAATTTGTCACTCAATTAATATTGTTGACTACTCTTTCAGTTAGAATAAAGGTTTTCTTTCATTCCCTTTGTTAAATTTCATTCCCATCACATGCGGTAAATTTCAATGACGTATAACTCTTAAGATAATTAATGGAATGAAGTGCCTCATACATAATGTTTTATGTATTTAAATATAGGACACGATAGAATAATAAATGCATGTAATATGAATACCTTTTCAAATTCTTCATTTTTTTTCTTTTATTCTGGTTTTATTTAGGGATTTTTGTTCGTTAACATGTCAATCCCATTAAAGCTAACTTAAAATCTATACATTTGTTATTAACCTGCACATACTTAATGCAATATCCGAGGTGGGGGCATGTAGGATGCTCTGAGCAACACCTATATTGTACACATTTATATTATATGTTCTTACAAATAATTCTCTTGCACCTCGGTTTCGCTCACATTCCATTAAAAAATGATGTAAGTCTTCAATTACTCCACAAATTTCACAATTAGGTGAATCAGCTCTTTTCATCAATTAAGAAATTTTTTTTTATGGAATGTGACCTGCTCTTAATCTAAATATTAATTTAATAGTATTTCTGTTTAATTTGGTATCCATAAACCAAGGTATTCGAGGCGGTTCACTCTGTATCGTTTTATACCAAATACCTTTCGTTTTAGAACGTTCATTGAAAAATTCTTTCCATTTATTATAACATGAATTTTTTTATTTTTGGTAATATTTCTGAGTAGCAAGAATCAATATAATACTCTACACCATTTATGCAAGCAGAATTCGCTAATCTATCCGCCTCCTCGTTACCCAATAAACCAATGTGTGCTGGAATCCATTGCACCCTTACACCGATGCCGCATAGACTGAACTGATTTATTTGCGAAAGTATGTCATAGGCTATCGAAACACCTCTGATTCCAGAGGCGGATCGAGCCAAATGTTGGATAGCAGTTTTGCTGTCCGAGTAAATGATAATTTTGTTCCAGTTATAGCTTGCGGCATATCTTAAGGCTTCGGATATTGCAATGAGTTCGAGGGTCATAATACAAACGTCATTTGTAACTTTATATGATCTAGAAATTGCTTGAGATGGGTCAAGAAAAGCTGCCCCTTGCAACTTAGCACTCTTTGATCCGTCTGTATAGATTTTATGCCAATCGTGATATTTATTGTCAAGTTCTTTGATAATATTGACTTTAAGAGAATTTATTTCATAGAATTTTTTAGATTGTGTAACAGACTCTAATTCACTTAATATTATATTTTCAATATCAATGCGAGACAGCCAAGTGTTAAGCGAAAATGATTCGAGAAAAGGAGATGAATGTATTTTCATAACTTTAATCTTATTGTAAGATTTAACTAAGTGTGGGATTTTCTTGCGTTGCCAATATCTTGTTTCACAGAGACTGCTAAGCTGCTTCAACAAATCAATTGAAATATTGTTCGAAAAAGAGCTGGCTTTTAAAACATATTTATAAGCTAGATATAATCTTCTAATATACAATGGAGGTACACTAAGTTCGCTTTCCATTACATGTATTGGAGAGCTTTTGATAAAACCACCAATAACCCTTAACGATTTATTTTGTATTTTATCTAATTTTGATAAGTGAACATTAGCACAATTATCAAATAAAAAACTACCGTAATCGATTCTACTTCTTATTAACGAAAAATACAGCTGACGAATATGTTTAGGATGAACTCCCCACGATGACCCAGATATTACCATTAGTATATTTAAAAACTTATTACATTTTTCTGTAATCTCATTAATGTGTTTGTTCCAGAGTAGGTTACTATCTAGCCACAACCCCAAATATTTAAAGCAATTTAAGGAAGTCAGTGAGCGTTCGTTAACTGTTACCTTAGGCAGGACTCGTCTACGTCCTCGACTAAACAGGCATAACTTTGTTTTTTCAGTTGACAGCTGTAAACCTAGATCGTTTAATATTTCTACTATACAATATAACGCGTTTTTTGATCTTTGACTCGCAAATTTTTAAATCTTTGTCTTTTATATAAATAACAAAGTCATCAGCATATTGAATAATATTTACGTTGTGTTGTGATATTAAATGGCAGACTCTGTAAGTCGCTATATTGAATAGGAAAGGGGATATTGGGTCTCCTTGTGCTAATCCTTTATTTGTGCTTCTTTTAAGTACTTTATTTTCAATTTGAGATTTTACCCGTAAATTTCTTTTGCTTAGGAATGACCACAAATATGTACAAAACCTACTACCAACTTGTAGGTTATCTAATATTTTTAAGACACTATTTATATCAACATTATTGTAAGCATTTTCAATATCCAAAAAGCAAGCTAAAGTGGGCATATTTTGTGTAAATCCAATTTGTATAAATGTTACCAAGCGAGAGTGACAGTCTAAGCAAGATTGTGATTTCCTAAATCCAATTGTCGATGGCGAAAATACGCAATTTTTTTCAATGAACCATTCTAGTCGTTTGAGCATCATAATGTGGAAAGTTTTACAAAGACATGACACTAAGGAAATTGGTGTCAGCTTAACATCAGAATTAGATGGGCCACTATTTTTTGGTATAGGTATAACCAGCACATTACGCCATTGACTTGGTATATTTCCAGACCTGAACACAAGGTTATAAAGAATTAAAAGAAATTTTTTGGCGATATCGGGAAGATTATATATCATACTATATGTGATTTCGTCATCTCCGGGAGCAGTATCTTTTTTTTTTAAGACAACTTTTCAATTCTGCCATTGTAAAATCAGTCTCTAATGAAGGATTTTTAGACATAAAATTGGGACATACGTCGGTAGCAGTATCCGGTGTGAGTGAAAGTAGAAGCTTTTCTTGCTGATCTAATGGAATGAATGATTTTTGTTTACGAATACCCTTCATCCATCGCATGCGCTGCCACATGTTTGATATTGAAGTTTCTCCATCTATCGAATCGCAAAAGTTCTGCCAATATTTACGTCTTGCATCTACTATAAGTTTACTAGCTTCTTTAGTTTTTACTTCTAAGTGAGTCAAATTGTTGGGAGTTGGATTACGTCTAAAATTCAGAAGGGCTAATCTTCTTTGAGCAACTGCTCTAGACAGGGCTGGGTTCCAATAATTTCGGGGTTTAAATTTTGTTGCTGGATCAATGCGTACTTTTATAGTAGGTATACTAGCATCAGCCGCTTTATCAAGTTGAGAAAGTAGAAAGTTATACATTTCTTGAATACATGTTTCATCATATATATCAATATCTAATAAATCATCGCTAAAGGATTCTTTAATTATGTTAGTATATGCTACCCAATCAATTTTCTTAAAATTACGTTTCTGAATGCCATTATAGTGTTTTGGGATTTTAGTACTTAATTTAATTAATAGATGATCGCTGCCTAGATTTTCATTGAGCACCTTCCAATCGAAATTTATAGCAATATCATTTGATACAAAAGAAACATCTGGGGAAGTTTCTTGTAAAAACCCATTGACAAGTTTAACTCTTGTTGGCATTCCATTATTAAGAGAAAAATAACCATGTTCTACCGATGCGTCTACTAATTGCACCCCGCGTGCATCGTTTTTGTACGACCAATTGCTGTGGTGCCCATTAAAATCACCTGCTATTAACGATTTTTTTGGGAAGAGGGAAAATAGCTCCTCCCATTCTGATACCTGAGTTCTAACCGAAGATGGACAATAGATTGATATAATATTTTGTAAGAAATCACAATTGTGCAATTTAACACATACGGTTTCTATGCCTGGGTTAGTTAATCGAATTATACTTACTACGCTTTTAAGTGAGTTGTGTGTAACGATTGCAACTCCACCATAAGAGTCATATCTGTCCCGTCTATAGATATTATAATCTTTAATATTAATATTATCATCGTTATCTAACCATGTTTCACTTAGTATGGCTATGTGTATTTTTTCTTTTACCAAAAGCTCCCCAAGATCTATCAATTTTGGTTTCAAACTTTGTGTATTCCACTGTAATATATTAATAGCGATATTTTTGTTATTTGTACTATCCATTATTCATATAATTTAAAACTGTTTCATAAATTTTTCGTCCTGATATTAAACTACTCACAAATGTTTTAATTACTTTAAAAATAGCTATGAAAACCGCAATAACTTTATGCTCTAATCTTTTTCTAGAGTACCAAATAGAATGAATTTTTAATAAGTCCCTTAAAATCAAATGTTTTTTGTCTTATTTCTTCTTCATCTGAAGTACTTTTTTGGCTTTCTTCTTCTGCTTCCTTAAACTGCGTATCATTTTCTATTGTATTTATTTTTTTCCTTCCTTTTCTTTTCCTTTGTTTTGTCTTCTCCTTTTTATTTGTTTCTATGAGTATTGTTCCTTGAGGCTAATTCTTGATTATTTTCCTTATGAACTTGAGCGTTAGTAACAACCTGACTATAACTTCGAGCTCCACGGTTTTCCAAAACTTGTGTCGGCTGTTCTGTCATCTCTTGATTGACAAAAGTATCTTTAGAGTGTATATTTAAGTTATTGCTCATTTCTATTTGATTTTTATTTATAATCATCTGAAGAGCTTTTCTATAAGGTATATTTTCCTTACTCATAGTGATACGTATTTCTTTTTCTTTGAGATACGTAGGACATCTTTTATCTAAAACGAAATGTAATCCTTTACAATTGAGGCACTTGTATGTTTTTAAATCACAGTTTATGTGTTCCGTACTACCACATTTAGGACATAAAATTTTTTTACTACTACTTTAATAATATGTCCGAATTTCCAGCATCCGGTACATTGTGTTACTGGAAAAGTGTAGTTTTCCACTTTAAATTTATACACATATGCCGTGACATAAAGAGGTAAAACAGTGCCTTGAAAGCATATCCTTACAGTTTCACTTTCGACCCACTTGCTATTTAAATCAAGTCGTTTAAGTCGTCTTACCGCCAATATTTTGGTATCACTTTTCAAAATTGCTAAAATATCTTGTTCTGTAAACTCCAAATCTACACCTCTAATCAATCCATAAGAAACCGTGGTTTCAAAAGTTTTTTGACATTTGTACTCTAATTCTTGAAATTTTTTACAACTTATTAATTTTTCCGCATCATTATTACTTTGAAAGCAAATCAAAACTTTGAAAGGGGACTTATATTTGATTGTTTCAATATTCAGAATATTCTCACTTCTTAATACTTTAGCTAACGCCATTTGCTTTGGTAATTCTTTAAATGATGTAACACAAACCTCATATTTAGATCCGATTTCTTTCGATGTTGTATTTTGACCCTGTCCTGTTGAAATACTTCTTAAGAGACGTTTCGGTCTTCTTTTTTCAACTGTCACATAACCATCTTCGCTGTTTGTATCTTCTTCACATGCTTTTCTCTTCTCCGATCTCACTTCAGGCTTTCGAGTTGTGAACCCAGCGTTTGCATGTTCCATTTCAGATTCACGAGTGATTCTTCGATCCTTAATTTGGCTTAGTTCTAATTCACATTTACGTATGATTTCCGAATCACTTTCATCACTTCCATCTATCGATTTATGTTTATCACTATCCATATTTAAACATTGAGGGTAAACTGATAAAAAAACTTTGTATTACGAACTGAGCGGTCTTTGACGTGTGTGTGCCAGACGACAGCTCGCGCAAGACTGTTCTTCATTTTAATGCGTGATATAAGCAATAAGAATCACTTGTATACGTTTTATCCATAGTTTTTCTAAAGTCTAAATCGGTTTTATTTCTGAATCGATATAAAATTTTAGACAATGGCAACTGCATAAACTTAAGTTATTGATTGAACTAAGAAAATCTTTTTACTTTAAAATGCTATAGCTTAATAATATACCACATAACCTCAAAAACGTTTTGCATAATTATTAGATTCTCCGAAATTCTAAAAATATATTGCATACCGTACTTTGTTATATTTAAAATAGACTAATGAAATGACATATTATGTTTTATCAAGTTACGTTATATTAGATTTTTCTAGTCCAAGTAAGTTAGGAGGGTCGGCCATTGTTTTTTACAGTTTTGTTTCAAAATAATGCTAAAAGTTTTTCAAGGAAAATAATATGGGGGTATAGTTATATTGTGTTAAAATATGTAGTATAGTTGTTCGTGAGGCAGCGGGTTTCACTCAAATAACATAGTAGTTGTCACAAAAGTCAACCAAAGGGAAACAACTACATTAAAACTCCGACAGATAAAGAAATGATTAGATCTGAAATATTAACAGCGGTGAAAGAAAGTAGCTAAGATATGAGAAATCCGATACAAGTGATGATGAAAATTTAGTATACGCCTGTGTTGATCTGCGTCTGTTCATAGAATGAAGATGATTACGATTCTGGGAAAATTTTGTAAGCTGTGTCAAGGTGTTTTCCAATTCAATTAGTGTTTTGTGATTGATATAAAAGTCCAAAACCATTTATCATGTCCGATTTCCCTCACAGTTTAAACTAGGATTCTTAAATGGGTATAGCATTCCATAATTTGGGATGACTCAAGAATTTAAATGTTAATGTATGCTTTTATATAACTCTTCGTATACTACTACTTCGTATACTATCATCACTTATCACCTTAATTCTTAAGAAATGGAAGTACTAATTTATATTGATAATAACAGAAACGTGCTTGACTTTTCAAAAGGTTAAGTGAACGACATTAAAATGCTTTTGATATTATATTGCATCAAACGAATAATTTTTTTCTAAAAGAACCTTTTAACCCAGTTATAGCCGTATAATATTATATACTATAAAAAGATTTTTTTTTTCAAAATATCTCGTTACATTGTCAGACTTTTTTCAAAATATCTCGTTACATTGTCAGACTTTTTTCAAAATATCTCGTTACATTGTCAGACTTTTTTCAAAATATCTCGTTACATTATCAGACTTTTTTCAAAATATCTCGTTACATTGTCAGACTTTTTGCGTCACAGAATATGGGACATTAAGCATACATTGCTAATATGTTACTCTATTAAACATATTGGTACAAACGGGTACGTGCAAAAGCAGTAAAATGCAAGGGCAATGCCTTCACCTTAATGCACAGGAAAAGCATCCAAAACATGCTGGGACAAAAGATTTTTTTTTTTCAAAATACCTCGTTACATTGTCAGACTTTTTTCAAAATATCTCGTTACATTGTCAGACTTTTTTCAAAATATCTCGTTACATTGTCAGACTTTTTTCAAAATATCTCGTTACATTATCAGACTTTTTTCAAAATATCTCGTTACATTGTCAGACTTTTTGCGTCACAGAATACGGGACATTAAGCATACATTGCTAATATGTTACTCTATTAAACATATTGGTACAAATGGGTACGTGCAAAAACAGTAAAATGCAAGGGCAATGCCTTCACCTTAATGCACAGGAAAAGCATCCAAAACATGCTGGGAAAAAAGCATATCTAACGTTGCGACTTTGTTTTAAATACGTTGTAAAACTAATTTTTTATACGTAGTACAACCACGCCGCAGCTACATTATGGTTGTAGCACGAATGGGTTGGCTCGACTGAGGAAGGATTACGCTCTCACAAAATGCTAGCGTGAAATAGCAACTTGATGCTGCTATGTTTCGTATGGTGAGCCTAGAGAACAGGAGACCTATTTTACTCGAAATGAGGCATTTTATCATAGACTACAGGGTGACAACGCACCTGCATTTTGATTCTTAATCGAGAATAGATGTAGATAGCTGTCTGTGGGCCATGTATTGGGTAGAGTGTGTGTTTTTTTAGTGAAACGCACCTGCATTTTGATTCTTAATCTTCGGGTGTGTGTCTAGACTAGGGACAACCACCTGCATTTTGGTCTTAATCGAGTATGTTGTCTGTGGGCCCTGCATCCACTAACTATCGGGTAGAGTGTGTGTTCATTTTATCATAGACGGCCTTGAAATAGATAGCCTGACTACAGGGTGACAACGCACCTGCATTTTGATTCTTAATCGAGAATAGATGTAGATAGCTGTCTGTGGGCCACTGCATCCACTAACTATCGGGTAGAGTGTGTGTTCATTTTATCATAGACTACAGGGTGACAACGCACCTGCATTTTGATTCTTAATCGAGAATAGATGTAGATAGCTGTAATGGTTTGGCACTATTTCTGTGGGCCACTGCATCCACTAACTATCGGGTAGAGTGTGTGTTCATTTTTATAGACTAGGGTGACAACGCACCTGTTGGTGTTGTTCTGTTTTGATTCTTAATGAGAATAGATGTAGATAGCTGTCTGTGGGCCACTGCCTAACTATGGGTGGTCACCATATATTCAAAAAACATCTGCGGAAGTACAATTTTCTACAATACACCAGACAAAAGTGTATCATTGTCCACAAATTTTCTTTATGTAAAACTAAACTTTTTCAAATAACTAGCTTAAAGTCTCAATAATTTATTTTACAACTATGTTAACTTTGCGTTTTTAACGATTGGTTGAAGCAGCCCCAAAAAGCATCACCACCACCACCAAAGGAACCCGAACCCAAAACCGCATACAAACGCAAACGTTTGCAACAAACGTTTACAGTTATTCACATAGTTCACACGGGACGCTTAGTTGTTGTCACAAAGAAGCCTAACTTACGTAGAGGTCTTGAAGGCAGGGGATCATTCAGTGATCTTATCGGATGGGAGAGTCGCTTATGCTCCAGAGTCTTCCAGTGGTAGGTTTTCGGTTCCCGAGGCAGTGATCCCGTGTTGGTATTCATTTTAGATACTTTCTGGCCTTGGAGAGAAAGTTTTCTCGTTCGTTCTACCCCTGTTCTCCTTGCATCTGGTAGTGGTGATTTTTTCTCTAAATTCTGCACAACACCACCTATAGAGCTACTTTGATTCTTTATCAAGTCCTTAGCACTCGGAGATCTAGAAAGAGATATGACAGATTTAGTGAAATTTGCTACTTCTTTCACATTAGTAACCGTGTCTCCAAGGTTATTAGCGGCCTGTTTTGTTTCTTGTTTCTTTGGTCTCTTCGGTTTTCTTGGAACTTTGAGTATCTCCTCCCTTGTAACAACGGGAAGGTCATCTAACATTTGATTAGAAATCTTCTCATCGTCAGCTACATTTTTACTATGTTGCCCTATTTCCTCGTAATAATTCTCCTGTACACATTCCTTTACTTTGTCACTGTTAGACACAGACGTTTTTATAACACTCGTGCATTTTCCTAATATTTTGTTAGATTCTGCCTCAATATTACATTTATTTACTTTTGTTCTGTTGGAAGCTATTGGAGTAGGTTCCAGAGGTTGGTAGTAATGATTGTCTATTAACCACTCGGGTGTTTTTGATATTTTACTTAAGTTAGACTTTGGCATATTTACTGGTTTGGATACTATATTTGAATCGAGCGTACAAGGTACTGTTAAATTTTCGCTTGAAGATTTCCAAGAGAAATTAGGCAGTTGTTTTACCTTTACATTCTTTTGGTACATACCTTTCTTTTTAGGACTATCTGTTTGTGGTAATTCAATTGATTTATTACAACTTGTAGTGTCAGCCACAACCACTTGATCAATGTCATCATAATACACAGTGCCTCTCTTTGGTTCAGGTTTTTGTATATCTATTTCTGCTACGGTATTCGCTTTAAAAAAAATTGGCTGTATTAACACCGGGCTTATAATAATTGGGGATGCTTTACTATCGGTAATATCAATGTTGGCATTTACTATGTTGATTGGCGCTAGAAATGTCTTGACTTGGTTTTTTCTTTTTTCTTGATTATTCCACGTATTTGAAATTTTATTGTGTGTTGCAACTGTGGTAGATGTTGTAGAGGCGTCGTTTAAAGTATGAATTTTTAACCGGTAGCTTACATCATCTTGTAGGTAGGTTGGGACAAGAGTTGTTTCTATATTATCTTTAACTTGTTTATTAAAATCATCATAATATGTGCCTTTTATTAGATTAGCATTAACATTACTGTCTTGGGTTAAAACTGAGGTCGTACTACCATTATAAAAAATTTCTTTGGTTTTTTCAATATAATTTTCTGTTTTTGCACAACTTTCTAGGGAACTATTACCATTTACAAATGTATGTTTATGGTCAATATTCAATGGAGACACGTTCCCATTATTTACCTTTGGCTTATCAAATTGAATTGTCATTTGTGATGAAGAATTTTCACTTTTATTGTTACTAGCCATTCTGTCGATTGCTGCTTTAAAATTTAATTTCAGTTCCTCGTTCACCTTTTTCAAATCTTTTTCCATAATCTCATTTGAAAGTACCAGCGGTATATTGTCCTGCAGAGGCTGAATTAACACATCGTTTTTTAAGCCTTCTTTAAATTCATTTGGACATGCTTTTGGGCTAAATGATGTATTTTTTTCTACTTCGAAAGTAACGTTATTGTTCTTTACAGTAGGCGATGAAAGAAAAACGCTATCTGAACCGTCGGTATAAAGAGAAATATCACTAAAATTATGACTTCCCAAAAACTCTATACTGGTAGCTTCTTTTAAAACGTCTTTAAATGCATGACTCGAACTAAGATTATCCATACTAAGAGATTTTAGTTTGCCATTGTACAAACTCGAAAAATGTTTAGTAGACTTCGTTTTACTTCTACATAGATTTACATCACTAGACACTGACTTAGAAACTAACTTACGCCTGTAGCTACTCAAATCTAAGTTAATAGAACAATCTAAAGCGTCCTGTCTTCTAAACCTTTGTTCATAAAAGTCAATAGCATTTTGCCTCATTAACTCTTTGGTTCTAAAGGGAGGTAGGACGGCTTCCGCTATTATTTTACCACCAATTCTTTCGGTATTATTATCAAAAGATTCCTCTTTGCTGATCTCATCATCGTTTGTCTCATCCGTTGTCACGTTCTTTATGTCTATTTTAAAAGTTTTTGGTAGATTTAAGTCTTCTTTTGAACTGGCGCTATTCAGTTTAAAAAACGCTTGATCGACTATACTGGTATCTTTCAAAGATGGATCAGAAACGCTATGTACTCTAGACAGATACCGTGTCCTGATATTTCGAAATATGGCCTTGGATGAATTATCGTCCTGTAATTCACCATCATCAGATTCTTTGAAAAAACTTTTATCATCGTCAGAACAGTTTTGAACGCTATCTGTTGAATCTGACCTGTTAAAACCTGTTTTAAGTACATGAAATTATGATTAGACATGTCATATTAACATATACATATGTACACAATACAACTGATAGCATTACTATGCTGTTAGTCTTATGGTCGAGACTCTAAATGAAGCACTAAACATACAATTAATGCAGCATGATAATGCGTTAATATCGCTCAAGACGAAGATCAATCATTTCTTATTAATATTATACATGCATTATCAAAATACCTTGCAAGTAAAAACAATTAACAGAATAAAAATTTTTTCGCACTCATACTGTAATAATATTGTAATAATATTAAAAAAAAATCGTAGAAATATAATGAAACCTTTAACTAGCTCTATTTAAATCTACACATAACAACGTTCCATATCATGCAATCGTCTCCCACTAGCAGAAACACTTTAAATACATTTTTGTCGCACTTACCTTTCATTGAGTGTATCTGGTCTTCCAAAAGTCGGATACGATCTCTGGCAATTTTATTCTCAGAAACAAGTCGCTCAAGTTCTCTTTGTGCTTCAGTTTTAAAATCGTTCGCGACGCGGACTGTCATAAGGAGATCGCTTTGGAATTGTTTCCATTCTGCTTCCTAAAACAAACATATTTTAAGAGATCAAAGCATTATTTTCTTAAATTTTCTGGTATTTACACAAATTTGAGTTCTTTTAAATTTTTATTTTTTGTAAAGTATACAACCGAATATAAGTTCACTAAGATTAAAATACGGGATATATTTTAATAAACAAACATGCGTTGTTTGTTTGTCAGCTCGTATCTCGGGGCAATAAAAATAGTAAAATTATTGCAAATTTATAATAAAACAACGTTTAAAAATAAAAGATGGGTTGCGTTAGGTTTTTGATTGTAATGTGAAGTGATTGTAACGTGATTTGTGATCTATAACTGTTGCGGGGCAGATCACACCGATAGATTTTTCTCGATAGATAGAATCGATCTTTGGTGAGGTGAGTAACAGCAAGCGAGTTAAGAAATTTTACGATGTTAATAACAGAGGGAGATCTATATACACTAGAAATAGTGACTTTATTTGCTATTATTATATGAAACAACCTCTATCATCTATATTGCGAACTGCGCGTGTGTGCGTGTGTGTCCGTGCGTGTGTGTGTGTGTGTGTGTGTGTGTGTGTGTGTGTGTGTGTGTATGTGTGTGTGTGCACGCGTGTGTGTGTGTGCACGCGTGTGTGTGCGTGCGTGTGTGTATATACATGACTCACGTAGCAGTCCCGCGCGAGCTGCGCGTGGCAGGGGCGTACGTCATACAGCTGACGCTCGAGATCGGAGACTTCAACTTCTGGCGCTTGAGTCATGCGCGCATGTGTGTGTGTGTGTGTGTGTGTGTGTGTGTGCGCGTGTATGTGCGTGCGTGCGTGTGTGTGTGTGTGTGTGTGCGCGCGTATGTGCGTGCGTGCGTGTATATACATGACCCACGTAGCGGTGCGCGCGAGATGCACGTGCGTGCATGTACGTATGTGTGTGTGCATGTGTGTGTTTGTGTGCATGTGCGCGTGTACCTGACTCTCGTCGCAGTTGCGGTCCAGCAAGAGCTGCGCGTGGCAGGCGCACGCATCCAGCAGCTGGCGCTCGAGATGTGCTTGCGTGCGTGTGTGAGTGAATATGTGTGAGCATGTGTGTGTTTGCGTGCATGTACGCGTGTACGTGACTCACGTCGCGGTCGCGGTCGCGCTCGAGCTGCGCGTGGCGGGCGCGTACATCCTGCAGCTGGCGCTCGAGGTATGCTTGCGTGCGTATGTGAACGAATGTGCGTGAGCATGTGTGTGTTTGCGTGCAAGTACGCGTGTACGTGACTCACGTCGCGGTCGCGGTCGCGCGCGAGCTGCGCGTGGCGGGCGCGTGCATCCTGCAGCTGGCGCTCGAGATCGGAAGCGCGCGCTAACGCTTCTCCCGCGCGCGACATCAACGCCAGCTTCTCATCAGACGCCACCTGCACCTGTGTACAACATGACCACTATCCATTAACGACAAAAACACATCTCTTATATTTCACTTAAAAATTACAAAAAAAAAACAATTCTATCCCATATATAAATTATGCAGTGAATATTTAACGAACGACGAATTCGCCTTATATCAAGTATCAAGTTGAGTAAAGCAATTAGTGTTGCCCAAATGCAAGAACAAGACGAGACTTAGCCAGTCTTGGTCTTGGTCTTGGTATTGCACTCCCATTCTTAGTCTTGGTCTTGCAGCAACAGTCTTGCAAGTCTCGCAATTACCTATCAGCCTATTGCTATTGTAATAGTGGAGAAGAGCGGTCCACTATTAACAAACTCCGAGTGGTTTAAGGTGGAGAAATGAAACTACTGTTTATGTAAAGCCGATTGGAGGATGAATATGGAATGGAATATATTTTCGTTAACCTTGCCTATATTTATATGGCTAGCTGCGGTGTTGGTTTACCAATGGTAACAATTTTTATTTTCCCTAGCCAATTATAATTCTTACATTATGACCAATGAAAATTAATCAAAATATACAACTATTATGTACGTTTCGTTTCCCGGCGTGAGACTCGTGTTATGTTCACGAAGTTACGTCGCTGGAGCGGGCTATAAAAGTCATGCAGATCGGTGCGCGCGCGTCATATTCCGCCTGTGGCATCGCTCTCGAGCGGTCGCATCCAGGTAGTCCGCGCTCTCGTCCTTGTACGGTAGTGCTTTCTCGCTCTCGCGCCTCCGCTGTCCTGCTCGCGCTGTACAGCGTCGACGCATTGGTGAGTCACTTTCGCTAACAGTTCTTGCCCCCTGTCCTCGGGCGGGGAGGTTTGACTGACCTCCGCTTGTTACTGTTATTTTACTGTTATCTTTACTGTTATCTTTATTGTTATTTTTACTGTTATACTGTATTGTTGGTTTTTGTTATTTTCTGTTATTCTTTCTTTTTCTAATATTATTATAATATATTGTATATTGTGTATTGTCTCGTAGTACGTCTCGTGTTCAAGTCCCTGTTCTTCTGAGAACAGGGACCCGTCCCACAACCAATCCTTACTAATAGTAGAACCACTGCCCCAACATGATCTCAATTAGCGAAATTAAGTACCTCATCGCCGCCCTAAACCAAAATCATGGTCTGGGCATTGACCTCGATGAGACGGCCCTCGGCCCCACGCCGCCCATGCCCCCCCCTGCCCCTCAGGCACTCCAACCGCCGCCCGTAATCGCGACATACTTCGAAACAAGGAACTCTTTTGCCCCCCTAGAGATGGAGTACGCATGCTCCGAGTCCTCTGCGCCGGCCTCCCGGAAGAGGCCCGCCACCAATACCGACACCGGCTCATCTGAGTCCTGTGACTCCGACGGAACCGGGGGAGTCTACATTCACCACGGTGAATTCCAAGCGCAACGGTAAGCGCGCCGCGATAAAACGCACCCCCCTATCTCAGCGGCCTCTGCCGCTCCTACAACCTCCGCAGCCCCCGCCGCCCCCGCAGCCCCCGCAGCCCCCGCCGCTGCCGCGATCCCACTCTTGTCACTAGACATCCCAACTCCGACCAAACCAGCCTCTCGATGTGCTCCAGTCCTTGCCAAGAAGCAAGTCCCGCCCCCTGTCTTCCTAAGAGACAAGGCAAGATTTACACAACTGTCAACAAATTTACAACCTGTTACGACGCAGGCATCAAATACGACCATGCCATCAACCTCGGGGAGGCTATTAAAATCATCCCCAACTCGATCGGTGACTTCCGTCAACTCACCAGGCTATTCACAGCCGAACGAGTTTCATATCACACGTACGCTCTTCCGGAAGAGCCTAAAGTCAGGGCCGTCATCCGAGGCGTCCCCTTCGAATTCTCCAACGAGGAAATCCTTGAGGACCTTAAGTCCCAAGGTTTCCCCCGTAGAAGCCGTGCACAAAATGCACAGTAGAACGGGCAAGAGGTACAATCTAGCCCTTGTCATCCTAACCAACGTGCCGGAGGCAAAATCCATCTTCCGGCAGGTACGCACAGTGTGTGGCCTGTCGAGAGTGAAGGTTGAACCCCCACATAGGCGCGGATTCCCGGCGCAGTGCCACCGCTGCCAGCTATATGGCCATGCGGCGGCCAACTGCCCCGCCCCACCCAGGTGCGTTAAGTGCCTTGAACCCCACAACACCAAAGAGTATCCTCGGCCCAAAGACGCCGAATCCCCACCCGCATGTGTCCTGTATAAACAAACAGGCCACCCGGCTAACTACAGAGGCTGCCCCTGCGCACCTCAACCTCGCCCCAGTAGGCAAGCTCCACCGCCGGTCAATGACCGCTCATTCCCGGCTCTCTATCAACAGCCCCGTCAGGGCCTTTCTCAGCCCATCCAGGGCTTCTCTCGGCCCCCCTCAGGGTCCCCCTAGGCCCCCCTCAGGGCATTATTCGGCCCCCCTCCGGGCTTCCCAAAGCCTATGCAGCCTCCAGTCTTTCCCTGGGGCCCCAATAAGGCAGACCCACCGCGGACAACCCCCGCCCCACAACAACAACAATCACAGCCCACTATTGAAGACCATAAAACGATCTATTCCGCTATTAGGAACATCGAAGTTAGTGAAATCGCGGTGTTAGCACGCAAATTGCGCGCTGCGAGGTCCCCTCAGGACCGTCTCCTCGCTCTTACAGAGCATCATAATCTTTTGTGCTCGTTGTAAGTTAACTTAATTAACTTAACTTCAATGACAGAGCAGTTTGCTCTACCAAAGTCTCACGGTCGTATCAAACCTAAGGGTTTATCGCTTGTATCCTTTAATGTTCGCGGTTTGCGAAATAACCTCCCAGAGCTTAAGCTTCCTTCGGAACCGTGAAGTCGATTTCCTCTTTCTACAGGAAACTAATCTCAAAACTAAGGACACTAAAGGCCTTTCTATTAAAAACTTCTCTCTTCTTCGTAATGGCAGACCCGACCGCTGAGGCGGCGGAACGGCCATCTATTACAAGAAGACACTTCACTGCTCGCCCATTTCTATTCCGCAGCTTACCAACATGGAAGCCACGGTATGCAGGCTAGCTATGACTGGACATCAGTCCATCCTCATAGCCTCCTGTTACATCCCTTCAGGAACCCATCCCCTCATCCCCAAAAAGATTTTGAGGCTATTTTATCTTTAGGCAATTCAGTCATTTGGAGATTTTAACTCCAAAAATACTGAATTGACATGCCGTACTACGTCCCCTAGTGGCAAGATACTGCTCGATATCACGCAGTCTCTTGATATTACCGTCCATAGTCCCCTCGGTGTTACTCTCTTTCCCGATAACATCGATCACGCCCCCGATGTACTAGATTTTGCGTTACTCCTAGGAGTTTCTCTCAACCTCAGAGCAATCGAAACACTAGACGATCTAGGATCCGATCACCGACCGGTCTTCCTCATTCTTGGCCATCAGCCACCTCCCCCAACACACACGAAAACCTTCACTAATTGGAAGGGATTCAAGGAGTCCCTAGCTAAAGCTCTGGACTCACAGGACTCTACCATCTCCCTACCGTCGGACTTAGACAGTCCCGAAAAAATCGACACCGCGGTCGATTCACTCTCCACCCTTATTAAATCCTCCCTTAAGGAGAACGAAAGGGTCGTCCCGGTTGCTAACAATTGTGGGCTTCCCCTACATATTAGCAACCTATTAAAAGCCAAAAAAGCTGCTTTCCGGAGAGCAGCAAAGTACCCCACCCCCGAATATAGGCGCACGGCCAATCGTGCGCCTATATTCGGGGACTTATATGCGCCCTATCAAAGCTGGTGTCCCTCAGGGCTCAGTACTTGCTCCTCTGCTGTACATCCTGTTCACCAACGACATTCCCATCCCGTCGAAGGGTGTTCAGCTCTCCCTCTTCGCAGACGACACTGCTATCTACTGCAAAGGTATCTCGCTACCTTTCATACGGAACAAGGTTCAAAAGTCAGTTGACGACCTAGGAGCTTGGTTCAAAAAATGGCGCATCGATGTGAACTCGGAGAAGAGCTCCGCCGTTCACTTCGATTATAAACGACGCCGTCTCAAAAACACTCCACCAATACGTATGCTAGGGACCCCTGTCCCCTGGCATACGACTGCCAAATATTTAGGTGTCACTCTAGACACAAGGCTCACTTTCAGGCCCCACGTCAAAAGAGTAACCCGTCACGCACGTTTTTACCTGAGTAGGCTCAACAGTATGTTGGGCCGACACAGTAAAATGTCCCTTAGAAACAAGCGAACCCTTTATAAGGTCTGTATACGACCAGTCCTGTCCTACGCGGGCCCCGTTTTTGCCCACTCCGACCCCAAAATTATTAATAACTCCTGTTGGCGCGACTTCTAACGCCGCCTAGCGACGCACCGGAACACCAAACTTTTAGCTACGAATCAGAGCTCGTCATTGTTAGCAACCAATCACAGCACGTCGTGCAATTAGTTATAAGATCTGTCTGTATTAAATTTTGATTATTACCTGATACACACTGTTAGCAATAAGACGACTTAAATATAACCAACAAACGTTCAATAAATCAATCATTGAAGAGCACCTGCCTCCCGTTCCTGTACATAAAGTGGTCCTATCGAGCCGAATAAGGAGTTCAAGCTTGGAATCTCCGAAGATTCGTCGCATCAAAATACGAAGAGGAGATTCACGTATCGAGCGAAGAGCTGCAACGTTAAGGCATCGACAGACAGGAGTGGCAGGTTTGAACTTCCCGTCCGTTTCCCCATCTCATCCTTCGATAGGTGTTGATTTCGTGCTGATATTCCATTTCCAGTGCTCAAGTGGCGGTACCTACCTGCGCAACGGCACCCACCTTGGTTCGCACGCATATACAAATTGGCAACTGTAAGTACTCTTGATTTCCTTAAATCCCAAAATGAGTGAGCCCAAATTGTCAGATTTAATTAAGAAAAGAGGAGTTTTAAAAGGTCGATTAACTCTGTTTGAAAATTATGTTAAAAAGTTCACTTTACCCTTGACTGAACAACAGTCA